CTAATTAGTTCCATAGGAAGTTTAAGGGTGCATTCAATCATGCGCCAGTATGTGCAATTATAATAACGCCGAAAACACTTTTTATCTTCCCTTATATATTTTCCGTTAGTAAGAAGTGGTAATATAAATAGCAGACGGTTAATTATTTAATTTTTTTAATAATGAGAAAAATTTTTTAAATGTATAAGAGAAGCATATATTCACATGTTTTACAATTATAAAATAATCTCGATGATAGTTTAATATATGTTTTAATATATATATAATATATATGTTTTCGTGTTTTAGTATGTATGTTTTCTGTAAATATTTTCTGTAATATTTACAGCGATCATTTAGGGAATCATAATTGATAATTATGTAGTAATTGATGTAACGTATCATATTTTTGATTATATTAAAGTTCTAAAGAATTTTGATTTAAAAAAATGTCCAATAACAGATTTGCACAAATAATAGAAGATAATAAAAACCGAGGCGAATTTCAGTATGTCAGTCTAGTAGAGTGGACTGTCGCGCATAGAAATCCAATCCACAGTACCGTTTTGTGGAGATCAGCGTGAAGCGAGATTCAAGGGGCTGGGGATAAGGATGGATTTCGTTGTTGCATGAAAGGCAGCCTGCTCGGACTTCTCGTCTTACTTTCTTTTTCCTCGTGTGTTCACGACAGGATACGATCGTGAAAATATTCGGATTGGAAATTGGTTATACATAGACTATAACGGGATCCTGCCTTTTTGACTACTCACCCGCACAGTAATATACGCGGATAAAAGGAATTTTAAAGATATAAAATCCATCGCGAATTTTGTATCGCATCTTTTCCTGCCTCTCTCGAGAGTTTATATTTCCGCTTAATTTTATCTTTTGTATAACGGTTAACTTATTACATTGTATATTCTTTTATAAATAAATAGATTTATTAAAATGCGAATCACATAAATGCGAATCAACAATCTATATCGAGATATTATGAACATTGAATCTGTCAAATCAATTTTAACACTATTCTTTCATAGCACATAGCACGATTATCAATTATTATGAAAAACAGAATTTATGCGGAGTCATTATATTATAATAATATTTAATTAGCTAATACTAATATATTATAATTAATAAAATCAAATATTTGCAAAATTAAGTTAAATTAAGTTAAATTAAAAATTAAATTAACATTTTTAATAATTATTTAAAGCAATTAAATTCAAAGTCATTGTGATTTCTTCGCAATAATAATCTTTCATTCGCAGTCACTTAATAATGAAAGAAAATAAATAAATGGTTGTAAATGACGTTCGTCTATCTTCACCACGGTACTTTAGTTTTCCAATTTATTAGAAGAGCTGAATCAAATATATATATATATATATAATTCAATTCCCTGCAGTAGTTTATATCACTTTATATATAATTCTAAATTTATATATAATTCTTATGTAATTATTATATATCTCATCATATTCGATATTAACTTCATGTTTCATATCAACTTCAATAATTAATGTTTCAAATGAAGTAGTCTCTAGATTGAGATAATAATCGATAACGAGTAATTGGAAAAAAAAAAAAAAACAATTCTCATTCATAATAACGTGACTTACCTTGCATTTGGGATATTCCTCTTCTGGAGTGGGTCTTTTCCATCCGAGTAACGGTGGTATACAAACGAGCGCTGACAATAGCCAGACGAGGGCAATCATGAGCGCCGCTCTAGCTGGTGTTCTTTTCTTCAGGTAGTCGACCGCCTGTGTAATGCTCCAAAATCTGTCTAGGCTGATTAGGCAAAGATTCATGATGCTGGCCGTACACAACAACACGTCCATGGCGGAGTGAATGTCACACCACCAATATCCGAAGATCCAGTAACCCATAATCTCGTTAGCGAGCGAAAATGGCATGATGACAAGACCGAGGAAGAAGTCAGCCACCGCGAGGCTGGCTATGAACCAATTTTGTATGTTCTTGAGCGCCTTCTCCGTGGCAATAGCGATTATCACCAGCATATTTCCCACGACGATCACGATCATCAAGAGTGTCGCGAGGATAGACGCAAGTATAATATGCGGGAGAGTATATCCCGACGGGTACATACCCTCAGCCAGAACAATAAAAGTCTCGTTGTACAAACTGATGTTCCAGGGGTGACTAATGTTCCCGTAGGTTGACTCGTTGAACAAACTAATCGTATCCTCCATCGTGTCGCTAAAACCAAAGAGCAACAGATCCTTCTCGTATTCGATCGCGATTCCCTCCTCCGAGCTATTCGATACACCCGTACTCACACTCACACTATCGGTAGTACTGCCTACGCTGCTGTCGACACTTTGTTCACTGCCGCCACCCCCTATTTCAGTACCACCACCTATCCCTGCCACGTTTTCTTCGCCAGTAAATGCAATTTCCCTACTCTTTGTCGCGCCTACGGTGTTCCTACCGCAAACTCGAGTTTCTGAAGTCTGGCCGCAATGGTGGGAAGCTTCCTTTCTTACTGCCTCGCCACCACCCTCTTTCTCGGTTGTGGTGGTGGTGTTACGCTCGCCGCTCTCGATGTGTTTTTCGTTGTTTTTAGCAGCGTTGTTCTCGCTCAGCAGCGGTCCTTTCTCAGCATCTCTACCGCTGAGGAGGCGACTAACACGATCGGTGGTAGCTTTCGCGGCCGGACGCCGCCGTTGCTTACCGTTCGGAATTGTACGTGGGGTCGGGAGGGCCTCGTTACTCGGAAACGTAGAGCCACCACTGAGTGGTCGAGACCACGTCATGTTCCCCTCGAAGACGCTCGTGGACGCCGTTGTCGAACTATCGACGGCGATGGTCATAATGCTGCCGAGAAGCGGCATTACTCGCACCCTCGCCGGGGACTGTAAATGCTATCTTGGTAAAGACGAAGCGGAAGTTACGGCCGCGCGCGAGTAGCAACGTGCCCCGGGTGCCAGCTCGAGTAGCAGTAACAACAGAAGGGTAGTGGTCTCGTCGCATCTCGAGGCCAAGGGCGTCATGCCCGTTTCAGGATAATGCCATCGTTGTCGAATACGTAAATGCCTCCACACACGTTCTTCCTCGTCCTCTCGTGGAATCGTTCTCGTGGAAGCCGTTGTCTCTCCTTGAAGATTGTCTTTCCGAATCGAACGATAAACCGCTTGCGAAACCAACTTCGTTGGTCGAGCTTGTTCCCGCCGTACCTCCTAGTCGATACGTATCTTAAGATATGAATCACGATAATATTGCACTTAATCGAAAAAAGTACCTTTTGACTGGAGAGTATCTTAAGAGTATATTAGTTGAAACTCTCGTGGTGTTGTAACTTTGCACGCGCAATTTTAGAATTCACGCGTGACACTCACTCACGCATTATTTTCGCCTCGTGCAGCTAACAAAATGCGATTAAAGTTCGCCTTTGGCAATCGTTAACCGCTCTCTCTTCTCTATTGGACCAAATCTTTTAGAATCTAGTTTAGCTTAAATTTAGCTAATTTCGGCGTAACTGACACCCTCGATTCCCGCTGTTGCAACCGTAACGTTATTTCCGTTACGTCTTCGGTGCCGTGGTCGTACTTAGTTGGTTTCTAATTTATTGCTTGCATGAATCGCGACTCCGTATTTCTCGTATTTCCCGCATTCACTGGTCCACAACAGATTTAGCACGGACAGAGTGTACAGAGATTTATAGATAATCCGATGGGTTACTCGATTAAGAGTATTAAGGTAAATAGAGAGAATGAAGAATAGATAAGATGGAAAGGGTGTGAGAGAGAGAGAGAGAGAGAGAGAGAGAGAGAGAGAGAGAGAGAGTAGTATAGTA